AAAAAAAAAAAAAAAACCAGGCCTGCATCATGCAAAATTTGCGAGAGTATAAGTCGATCGACCCGCTTTTTGATTCTCACTCTTTCGTTTTCATATGTATCGTGTAGTTTCAATCGAGAGAATAAAACGAAATCTTGCAGGAAAACTCCCTTGAGATAAATCAAGTCATCAGGATTAACGCGCCAACTTCAATCTTTCGAGGTTTTTCAGTCATTAAGAACATTGTGTAGTCCGACTCTAGGACTAATGATACTGCAATGCTATATGTCATTGGCTAGGAAAGGGTGTTTCAATGCCTTACAACAAATTGTTAACGCTAGAAGCAGAGAATATGGGTATGAAATTTGCCAAACTCACATCATGTGCTGACAAACGTTGGGCACTCTCGTATTGAACCAATTCGCTCACCAGATCTCTTGCGCCTTCTGTAACATTTGGTAATATCGAATTCCATGGTTTCGGAGGAAATACATGGAATTCCATCTTTCCCCAGTCTGGGAACGTAGTTGCTTCCTTTGAAAAGGGGTTAGCTATTTTTATGCCTTACACTGACGCTCTTGGGATATACCGGCCATGTATCCAGAGAAGGTGTCCCTAGATTTTCGAATATACTTTTGATTAGAGCCAACTCACTCCCCAAGTCACCCGCGTCGAACAATGGTATACTGTCCAGGCGACATGCCTCTGCGGCAACGCACCCAGCAGCCCAGAGATCTAGTGTCTGGCTATAATTGGTGCTTCCAAATAAAAGTTCTGGAGCCCGATATGATGTAGTTCCCACGTCAGTAATTTTCTGAGATATTGGCTCTGATGCCGTATCTCGGGGAGACCAAGCAATCCCAAAATCGGCCAGAAATACTGGCCCATCTGGAGCTCCTAGAAGAATGTTCGAAGGTTTGATATCTCGATGGATTATGCCCAGAGAATGAATATGTTCAAGGGCCCGGAAGAGGCCCCGAAGATGTGACTTGACTTGGGAGAGCGACAACAATCTTTGACTTAGCAGATGATCAAGATCATACGGAACATAAGGAAATACGAGGACGTAATAGCCACCGATGTGCGTGAAAGAGTCTAGCAGATTGATAATGGATGGATGTGAGACCTCGCGAAGAATACGTGCTTCCCTTCTTGAGTCATGGGGAGGCGTCATGGACGCAGGAGCGCAAACTTTGAGCGCAACGACAGCGCCAGCGTTTGATAGAGCTTTATAGATAGTGGAAAAGAGCCCATCGTAACGGAAGGTGGCATTTTGGTAGTCTCCAATCGTTTTCCCAGGACCAGTTTCATCGCCATACAGCCCATCGTTGGTGATGGAGTGATCAGAGCCTGCATCTGACGCTTTGCTTTGGACTTCCTGCAATATCTTCTTACAATAGGCATGGTATTCTTCCTGATAAGAAGTAAGCTGGCGTAGAACATTACCGAAATGACAAGGATTGACCAAATTTTTCATCCGACAACATACAAGGGATTGAGCGTGGACATATGCGTCCTCTTCAAGTGCCTTGGCATCCTGCTGGCACTCTTCAACACCACGGTTGGGAAAGGATGAACGGTATACAGAGATCCTAAGAGCCGAAGTTTTCATGTCAGTCATAACTATAAAGACCTGATTGAGCATCTACTGTCATACTATGCAATCAATTGAATTGTTTGCTAATGGGCCATGAAGTAGGGCACGTGATTAAATTTGGCAAAAAGTGTGAAACACATATCGAATGGAATGCAACACAAACAAAATAAATTCTTGTATAGAAAGCCTTGAGGTAGATCGAACAACATACAACTCGATTACTGAACTCAAACGATCAGTGAAGCTGAAATTTGTGCGCCAGGTAGGTGGAGTGGACATGATAGGAGCAAATGCCGGTGCGACTAATGGATGTTGACCGAGTGAACAGCAACGCCAGGGATTAGAGTTGATTACTCATAGGGGACATCAATGTCTCCAGCTTATCAGATCTCGATGCCTGTTTTGCAATATACACAATGGCACGCTAGATTTTCGTGGTAGAATATTCAAACCACCGCAAGCTTTGTTCAGACGAATTACTCTGGATGCGCGAATGAACATTTTGCCAGCGTGCAGCGTTTGATAGGGTACTTCAGTCTAAGGCAGCAAATAGCTTGGGCAAGGAGTAACGTACTAGCTCCGAACGGGGCGAGGGGGCACCCCAATTTCGGCTCCGGCACGGAGCGAGGGGAGGTAGCATGTCCTCATTACTTAAGGTATTGATGCCAATCCCACAGGTTATCCGATGATGACATTTATTTGACTGCACGTCGTAGAACTGTTTAAGTTCAATGTTGCATGAATCAAATCGCGCGCCTGATTCTTGATCCTTGTAAACGTCTGTCATGGAATTGTCGCGACATGAGTACCCAGCGTTGCTAGTATGATTTCCCCGGTTTTCCCAAGTGACGTTGTAGTCTTTCTGCTGATCGTCTACACGGACAGGGCTCTCTGCAACCAGGTCAGGCCGTCATAGCCTTGAATGAGCGACTGAAACGCATTGGAAAACTCAATTCGGAGATTGCAGATTGGTTGCAGGTCTGATCTTCCCAATCTAGTCGCCTTTAAGATCAGCTACTTAGTCTATTGAATAGGAGCGTCGTCGAGTTGAAGAGACCTATGTCCAAGGACTACGCAAACTCGCACGAAGGCAGCCCCCTGATGAGTACTCTGAACTTGGGTTTGTCCTATCTGATTTCATTCGGAGGAACTTTTATTGATAGTTCACAGGATCTTCCAAATACCATGGCAGAAGATCCTGAGCTCAACCGATTCTTTGGCGCAGTCTCACCACATTCTGGCACAAAAAACCGAAGCAGACATTGAACGCCCTTTGCGTGAATTTATTGCGAAAAACAGAGAAATGCAGGCTATCATGACCATGCAAGGAAATTTAGCCGCGCGTGCCAAAGAAATCGAAACAGCTCAGAAGAAAGTTGATAAATTGAAGGACAAAGGAGCGAAGGCGTCAGCTGGCAAGGTCGCTCAGGCCACTTCCGAGGTTGAAAGCGCAACGGCCACTTGGGATTCACAGGCGCCGTATATATTCGAAAAGCTACAAGCGGTGGACGAAAATCGCCTTAATCACTTGAGGGACGTGCTTACCCAGTATCAGACTCACGAAGTGGACCAGGTAGAGAGAAATCGGATCGTCGCTGAAGAGTGCCTCAACGTCCTCTTGAATATTGAAACTGCGGATGAGATCAAGACCTATGCTATTAGGACCGCGGAAGGGCGCCCCCGCATTGAGAGGCAGAGGAGCAGGACTACTCCAAGTAGTACACTTGCACCTTCGACCCCAGCCATTGTCGCGGATGATGGCGCCAGCCAGGGTTCTGGGTCTGGTAAGTGCCACCTCCCTGACTTGACATATTTACAGAATTATTAATAGTAGTAAGCAGTTAAAGAGCAACGACATGGAGGATTAAGCAGTTTAAAGAGACTTGGAACGGTGATTGGGCGTCGCCGCCAAAGTGCCACTCCATACGGTCGCCCATCGTCTCCGGATAAACGGTCAACTTCGAATCTTGAAACTTTTGCCAGAGCAGGGAGCTCGCGAGATCAATCGCACATTTCTGCTTCGCCCCGAGGATCGTCGCCCCACCTTCCATTGCCTTCAACACGTGAGGAAGCTGAACCGCCTGGAGCCTTTGACTTGCCTTCCTCTCCGAGAGGCCTTTCCAGCTCTCATGAGAAAACAAACGGCAATGAGGACCATCAAGCCATGGAAGATAATCTTATTTCAGGCACAGGCGCACCGAATGGCGTCTCTCAACACACTGGTTCAATTGCAATCGAAGCCGCACCCGAAGAGCCTTCTTCCTTAAGTAAAGAGGTGATTTGTGAATTTTGCTTGGATGAAATCACGAATATGCAATCTAATCATTTGATTAGGAAATTACGGATGCTGAGGGGTTCAGTGTCCCACCCCCCAGCACTGATGCCATATCACAAGCAGAGCAAGAAGCTGCAAGGCTAGTATTTTGAGAACGTGCCCTGGCATCAGCGACTGACATATCTTCCAGTGAAAATGCTGCACCACAGTTTAAGCTCGATATACGAAATGATCCGATTCAGGAAGAAGACGGTGATGCAGAATCAGCTTTGGCAAATGTTGCTAATACACTCCGGGCGGTTCGTAATACAGAAGGATCCTTCATTCTATTGGGAGATTCAGTACTGACGACAGCTCAGCAGGCAGCCCCTAACCGAAAGGCTGGGACCTTGCGTGGCCGCCGAGATGTTAGAAACACCATCTTTGTGCCTTCACCAACTAGTGCAGAGCAAAGCAGCAATGAATCCCCGGGATTGCCACAGTCACCTTTCCGCATCGGCAGGACAGCCACCCTACTGTCCGAGGATCATGCGAATTCAGATACCCTTTCCGTACACTCTTCGCGTTCCATGAACAGTTTAGCTAGCTCTGCCGTGAAGCACCCGGAGTTGCATCAGCCAGGGCTCAATTCATCTCTCATTGAGACTATAAGTGCCTGGTTCCAGCATGGACAAATCAGTAAGGCAGTGATGATTGGCGAACTTGCTTTGGCATTCAATCCGATCGACCTTTCTGCCCCCTTCGGCACCGAAACTCTACGCCTCGAGAACTTTCCCATTCTTGAAAAGGTTGCGCCGAATCCGACTTGTATCACGCAAGTGCCCGACAAGGCTGGAGAATACACTGTCAACCTGGCCAGCATTACTCGCACTACGGTCGCTTTCAAGTACCAGATACATATGCACGAAGGAAACTTCGCTGCCCACATTCCAATCGCGCTCACACCAATTTGGAAGATCGAATCTACTCAAGCCTCAGTCATCCTCAATTATTCCATAAATCCATCGTTCCTGCCTGGGGAGGGTCGGACCGTTCACATGCAAAATGTGATGTTCGTGGTCCATCTTGAAGGCGCGAAGGCGACATCCTGCCAGTCGAAGCCCGTAGGAACATTTTCTCGAGAAAAGTCTGTTATTTATTGGAAGCTGGGAGAGCTCACTCTCGACCAAGAAAATCCACAGAAACGGTTACTTGCTCGATTTGCAACCGAATCTGAAGCTAAACCCGGCAATGTAGAAGCCAGATGGGAAATTGGAGCTGGCAACAATCCAGAGCTAGGAAGCGGCTTGCAGCTCACTCAACTTAATCAGACCAAAGAATCTGCCGGGGGAGAAGCTGAAAGTGCTGATCCTTTCGCAGATGAAAGCGCTATGCCTAGTCCAACAATCACGTGGAAGGAGGTTCCGACGCTTAGGAAACTTCGCAGTGGGGTGTTTACCGCCATATGAATTAAGACATTTATCTCAAGATATTTGGGAATGATACTGTCTATCCTTGACTAAAGAGCAGCTTCAGAGTTGATATATTTGTCAGGGTGTGAATGCAGAGCCAGCATGTGCGACATGTCGAAACATATAACTTAATAACTAATATTTTTAATCTCAAATTCTTCGATATCATTTGTGTGAGGGTAGTAAAATTCACGGACGTTGCATTCCTAGTAGGAATTAGTAGTGGCTTTTAAATCTTCCATACTATTTTCGGTTGACAGGGAGGTTAGCACAATTAGCTGTAATTATCAAGTAAAAACATAACTAAGGCTAGTTAAACGGCTTTTCTTATAGTTAACCGGGACTTCGCTAATTCCAACGGCTGAGTCACCGGCCAAGAGGCAACGAGGTTATCGGAGGATAGTATTGATTTTTATACAAGACAGAGAGCTCCCGCGCATCGTGTGGGTCGAACAGGAAACGAGAACAAGCTAAAAGCGGCGAAAACATAGCAGTCGCGTCAGGCGCAACAAGCACTTCTAACAAGACAAATGCATGAATAGCATCTAGAACGCTGCGCACAATGAAAGATGCCGACTGCTCGCAATTCCACCACACAACCTACATATGACTTCATCTCTGGTACATCGCCGTCTCCGTCACCACCTCAGGCGACGATGGGGTTGCTCGGCCAGTCACAGATCGCTAAGTCTGGTTTGTTTTTGAACATTCAGACCAAGGCGAATCTCCGTATTGACAATCCATACTAGATAATATGAACGAAGACTTGCGCGCTCAACTCAAGGCGCTGCAGTACGAGCTGGAGACCATTAAGCAGGACAAGGAATTCACCGAGCTTCGACACCAAAAAGAGCTTAGGGATGCGCAGAAGCAAGCGGAAGCTGATTTCAAACGCGCGAACGTGAGTGAATGTAATTTGCCAGCGACTTCAGAAATAGGCAGCCTAACATGTCAATAGGATATTGAAAGCACAAAAAATGTCACATTCGCCAGATACGAGGCGTTGGAAAAGGAGTTCAAGGACACTCAGGACCGGTTTACCAACGAAAAGCATGACCTCGAGAAGCAATTACGTGCGATGCAGGAGCAAAATAGGATACTTACTGAGGAAGTAGACGAATCCCAAACGGAGTTGGCGTCTCAGGATCGGCAGAACCAATACAAATACAACGAATTGGAAACGAAATATTCTGCCCTCTCAAGGACGCTCGAAGGTCTTCGCACGGACTTTGGCGCAAATGCTTTACTACTTCAAAATGCACAGCAAAAGATTTCGGAGCGAGAAATTGAGATTGGTGAGATGGAAAGTGAGAATATTCGCCTCAGGGCTCAGGGCGGCGATACCGAGACTTTGGCTGTCATCAAGCGTGAGTTATCAGAACAAATCGCGCATATCAAGAAGTTAGAGTCGACAAACCGAGAGCATCTTTCCGAGCTGAAGCATTTTCGCAAAATGCACAAGAGCGTGGAGGTGGTAGAGGAAGAGAAACGTGTCATGGAAAGCAAACTAAACATGATGGAGGACTTGCGCCGAGAACTGAGCCAAACCCAGCTCCAAAAGCAGATTTTAGAAGACGAACGCAGATCGTGGACTACTTATTTACAAGACGAGAGCAATGGGGACCAAGAAATTGCATTTGATACACCAGTGGAGCTTGCCAGATGTCTGGTGCAATTGCGACTAGACAACGCTTCGCTCCTAGACAGAATTGGTGCTATCAAGGCCGAAGCCCTGGAACGGGAAGAGGCTGCAAAAAGGTTGGAACAAGAGCTTTCCAAAACCAAAGACGAACTGAAAGAAGCCCGAGAGAACGCCCCAGCTGGCAATAGCCGTATGAAAAGCCGACTTGAACGGCAGAGGGTTTTGGCAGTAAAGGAAGTCGAGTACCTCCGAGCTCAGTTGGTATCTTCCCATGAAGAATGGACGCGACGAGGAAACATTGCTGACTGAAGCGAAGAAAATGTTTGACACAGAAGAGACAACCATGCAACCGGAAAATTTTGACGAGCACAAGACAGCTCGAATCCAGGAGCTTGAAGATCTCGTAGATCAATATCGCAATGAACTTCAAGGCATGAATGACGCGCTGGCAAAGCGGGAAGAAGATACCGTTCGAAGTGACTCTGCAGGTATAAAGCGGACCCGGCAAGAAGAGCCGGACGAAAGAATAGGCGAACTCTTTCGCAAGAATCGCAAATTACAAGATCGTAAGAAATCCATTCCATATCGCTTGAATTGAGAATGCACTCACTGAACGGTTTGCCTTTTAGAAGTCTCTGAGCTTAGCAAATCTCTTGCCCTTGCCCAGAAAGACCTCGAGGTTTCAAACTCCCAGCTGAATGTGGTCCATGAGTCATCTCGCACACGGATACTTGAGCTGCGATCCAACCCGACTACTGAGGCACAGAATATCAAACTTAGTACCTTGAAGACCTTGAAAGACGAGAATAGGGCTTTACTTGCTCAATTAGAAAGCAGACAGGAGCCAATTCAGGTGGTCCCATTCAGTACTCTTGAAAGTGCCCGCATGGATATTCGAGATTTGCAAATATCGATAGCAGATAAGGAGAAACGTATGATGCGTCTCAAAGAAATCTGGACGGCAAAGAGTCTTGAATTTAGAGAAGCCGTCGCGAGTATCTTAGGCTGGAAAATGGATTTTATGCCCAACGGGCGGGTTCGGGTCACAAGTATGTTCTATCCCAGCGACGACGATGAAGATGAGAATAGCATCATATTTGATGGAGCGAACGGCACGATGAAGATCTCAGGCGGTCCAAATAGCGATTTCGCCCTCGAGATTCGAAACTTGATCAAGTTTTGGGTGGAGGGCCGCAAGGAGATTCCTTGTTTCCTTGCAGCCATGACCTTGGAATTTTACGAGAAGACTACGAGAGCTGCCAGGATGTAGCAAGGACTCTCTGAGTGCTATGGCAGCTATTTGGATTTCACGGTCTTATACTTTGCAGCAAGTTTTGATTGTCCTATTTTCATAAGTACTTAATCTTCACTAAAAAATTAAATGCAATCGGCAGATAATATCCTTTCTGCTCTAGACGCCCGAAAAAAAAGATGCAGATGCCACTGGCGGTACATTCATTTCTGAGCTCAATAGGCCATTTCGTCGTCTTTTGACCAAGATGGCGCTTATTTCATGCTCTTTGCCTGAGTCCAGAAATTATCCATCTTAGCCCGGCTTAATACTTCTCTGGCCTCGGCATCTGTCTCGCACACTCTACTTCCCCATTTTCTGAACGCCCGAGCCTTCAACTCACCCTCCCAAATCAATGTGCATTTGTTTAGCGTCAAGTCTTTGAGCGCTCCGCTCTCATCTTCTGGTTCCAGCCAGTTTGCCAGGGCTTCTCTGTTGCCTTCTTTAACGCTATATGGAGCTGAATTTTCGGTCCAGTCAATTCGATTGAGCATGAGTTTCTTGTAGAAATTGATACTATGTTGCCCGCCTTCAACAACGACAAGGCTCAATTTCGGGTGCAAGATGCAAACGCCAGTAAGGGCACTCTGCTCAGCGTTTTTTGAGATTTTGAAGCGGTGGCGACCATTCGAGAGGTTATCAATCTTGTAGACGGTGCAAAAAATTCCCTTTGCAGAATCATTTTCCTGATTCGCTGCGAGCTTCTCCAGCCGCTGCTCCTTTGTGAGCTTCCGCTCTTCGTTTGTCTGCCCGTGTTTCTCCGCCCGCTCTGCGATCTCACGATTGACACGAGCCTCGACAGCAGTGGGGTCTTTAACAGCTTCTTCTCCAAGAACACGCATAAGATTACTCTTCTTGACCTTTGGTGGAGGTGGAGGTTCGAGACCGAGCCGGATTTTCGCTTGCTGTTCTTTCAGATCCGCAGCGCGACGTTGACGTCTGAGCTTCGCCTGCTCTTTTGGTGTAAGATACATGGGCTTGGGAGGGGGCATCTTCTTGTCTTGTGGCGGCTCGAGAAGAACTGGATGCTGGACATAAATTGTGACAATCGAGTCCTCTGAGTCGAGCTTGAGGGTTGAGGGATCTTCTATACCATCATACGACTTTTCATTGACCAGTGCTTCATCCCACCACTCAATATCTGGAGGCGCAGGTACTAGAAAGGCTTTGTCTGTATCCAAGTCCTCATCTATGCCAGCTCTGCGAGATGATTCTGCAATTCTTTTCTTCATCTGCTCCAACGCGGCCTGCCGACGGAGAGCATTGGCTTGTTGAATATATTTTCCCTTTTGATTGAAGATCAATTGCCGTGACTGCCTGGCCATAGGCTGAATACTAAGGCTTGTATCGTAGTAAGGGTTGTTCTTTGTCTCCTCGAGAGATGGGCCGGAAAGATCGAGTTGGATTTTGTTCTTAGCCGTCTCCATCTGCGGAATAGCAGATTCAGTTCGTTTGTTGGCCATTGTTGTCGCGAATTTTGGGAGCATGGCCGATTTTGCCCTTACGGCCCGATTATCCTGTCCAACATCACCGAGTAAAGCCGGATGCAATCCAACATCCAGACCTCCTCGTGCCCGAGAGGGTCCCTCGTCAAGCTGTGACTGCTGAAATGCAGGTATAGGAGAAGCTGTGCGCTGTTGCAGCGCCGCATTTGATCGGTTTGTTGCAGCAGCAACCCTTGCTTTCAGTTGTTCGATTTTCGACATACCGCCTGCTGCTTTACTCGCCGGCGGTGCGGGTGAAGGAGAATGTGAAGGGCCTGGAAGAGGCGAGGGTGACGCACTCGACGAACCTGATCGAGTGCTCTGGAGACGGGCGGCAACTGCTGCGGCTTTCGCACGGGCTTCCGCCATAATCTTGTTGATATCCGGCTTTGCACCCGGTGCGCCATTCGTGGTGGGAGCAGGAGAGCCATGGTTGGAGCGAGGCTTCTTTTGGGCGTTGTAGAGATCATCGTCGGGATGAGGCCGTTTCAATGAGTTAGAGACATCGGCCATGGTGATGACTGTCTCCTACAAGCCAGACTTCTCCAGATAATGTTCGTAAGGAGATGCCTCTTGAATACTATGCCCTTTAAAACCGGGTAAAACAGTTTGGCTGCGACGGTCGTGTAATGATGTGGTTTGGTGGTCCTTTCATGACTTGACGATTCGGGGATCTTCGCCTCGTAGCTCCGACGGAAATTGCCGAGCCGGAGGGAAAAAAGTTACCCAAAAACTCCCCGTCTGTAGATTTTGAACAATTATTTGCAACACACTCTCTGGTCATTGTTGTACTGCTCGAGCAGCGAACTCACACGCGCGTTTGTGATCGCTGCTGGCAGCATCACCAGCAAGATGAATACCTCTCAGCCTGTCGCTTCCTCAATTGGAAGTGTACAATTTGGCTTCCTTACTTCGACCGACGTTCGAGCTCTGTCAGTGAAGCAGATCCAAAATCCGACCACTTTCGATTCTCTTTTGAACCCGGTGCCCGGTGGGCTTTATGACCCGGCGCTCGGCGCATGGGGAGATAACCTGTAGGTCCTATATCGCTTACTTGCTTTCCAGACGTTGTCTCACGAATCGCAGTTGCGGAACATGCAACCTGAACACCTTTTCTTGTCCGGGACATGTCGGACATATCGAACTTCCTGTGCCCGTTTATCATCCCATGTTCATGGACCAACTCTTAAGACTTCTGAGGGCCAAATGCGTTTACTGTCACCATTTTAAATTAGCGCGGATCGAAGTACACCGCTTTTGCTGCAAGCTCAAGCTGATTAGGCACGGCCTCCTTAACGAAGCGGAGGAACTTGAAAATATTTCGCTTGTTCCGAAGGGGAGCAAGACATCCAGGAACCAAGATGGAGGAGATATTGAAGCAGCTGGTAGCGATTCCGAAGGCGAGGATGCGGAGAGCTTGATGCGTCGACGCAATGAGTTTGTGAGATCCTGCATTAAACAGGCCATTGGTGGAATTAGAAAATCCAAGTGGGTCGGCGAGAAAACTGAGGCTGTTGCTGAAGAGCGAAGAATTGTTTCCAAGGAATTTTTGGCGACGATAACGAAAGGGAAGAAATGCTCGAATTGTCAGGGGTTAGTGAAACATCCCAAGTTTGCATGCACTGGTTGAATGTCTCTAACCGGCAAAAATAGGGTTTCCCCCAGCTACCGGAAAGACCGTTACTCCAAAATTTTCAGAAAGCCTCTTGGCCCAAAGGAGAAGGCACAAATGATCCAGGGCGGTTTCAAGGCATCAAACCCTCTTGTTACCTTACATAATGACCGAAAAACTGCTCTAAAACGCAAAAGAGGCAGTGACAACTTAGACGAGGGTATCGTTGCTGATTTCGAAGACGCAACACCTGACGAAGAGGAAGGCGAGCCCATGGATATTCTCGACGCCTCTGCTGACGGATCTGCGATCGCTTCGGAAGCCGCTGCAGTCAGAGACACATCCAAAGAAGCAACCGAAGGCAAGTCAGAATTTATCAGCGCCGGAGAAGTCTATGCTGCAATGGTTCACCTTTTCGAAAAAGAGAAGGAGATTATGACTCTGTTGTATCGGCCGCAAAACCGATCAAAAGCACCTGCCACGGCGGACATGTTTTTCATCAAGGACTTGGTCGTCCCGCCCAACAAATATCGTCCTGAGGCGAAGACAGGAGATGGAGAGATCGCAGAGGCGCAACAAAACACCCTTTTCAAACAAATCTTGACACAGTGTGACTTCATGAACCAGATCAACAAGGAAATGAAGGGCTCTATTTCCGGCCAGAACGTCCGCCAAAGAAATTTCACCGATCTCCAGAACGCCTGGGTTCGGCTTCAAGACGCTGTCAATTCGTTGATCGACCGAGACAGGAATCCTATTCAAGGGGCCGCGGGAAAGAAGAACGAGGATGGCATAAAGCAAAAGCTAGAGAAGAAGGAAGGTTTGTTTCGAAAGAATATGATGGGCAAGCGTGTAAATTTTGCTGCGCGAAGTGTCATATCCCCTGATCCGAACATTGAAACAAACGAAATTGGAGTGCCACCGGTCTTCGCAAAGAAACTCACCTACCCCGAGCCTGTCACAAACCATAATTTCTATGAATTGAAAGAGGCAGTTCTGAATGGTCCAGATAAGTGGCCGGGAGCTGCTGCTATCGAGAACGAGAATGGGCAGGTGATCAGTCTGCGTACAAAGAACCTCGAGGAACGACAGGCCTTGGCAAATCAGTTGCTTGCCGCATCGAGTGCCAACATGACTGGCTCAAAGAACAAAAAGGTTCATAGGCATTTGAACAATGGGGACATCGTGCTAATGAATCGACAACCGACTCTTCATAAACCGTCAATCATGGGACACCGCGCCAGAGTTTTGCCCGGAGAGAAAACGATTCGCATGCATTACGCCAATTGCAATACTTATAATGCTGACTTCGACGGAGATGAAATGAATATGCACTTCCCTCAAAACGAAATTGCAAGAGCTGAAGCCTTGCAAATCGCAGACACCGATCACCAATATCTCGTGGCCACGTCCGGAAAGCCGCTTCGTGGTCTCATTCAGGATCACATTTCTATGGGTGTATGGATGACCAACAGAGACACATTCTTCACTCGCGATGACTATCAGCAGCTGTTGTATAGCTGTTTGCGACCCGAAAGCAATCATACGACATCCCAGAGAATTCTCACCGTCCCTCCTGCGATTATTAAGCCTGTGCCAAAGTGGACAGGAAAGCAGGTGATCACAACAGTCCTCAAAAATATAAAGCCGCCGTCTCATCCTGGGCTGAGCCTTACATCGAAATCATCAACCAGCAGTGATCGGTGGGGGGAGAAATCTGAGGAAGGCATTGTCATTTTCAAAGATGGCGAGCTGCTGTGTGGAATCCTCGACAAAGCTCAACTTGGACCGAGCGGTCTTGGAATGGTGCATTCAATCTACGAGGTGTACGGACCAACGATAGCCGGAAAACTATTGAGCGTGCTGGGAAGGCTACTCACCAAGTTCTTGCATATGCGCGCTTTCACTTGCGGTATGGACGATCTAGTGCTCACCAGATCAGGTGAGGAGATGAGGAAGGAGAAGTTGAAAGATGCCGCAACCGTCGGTCTGGAAGTAGCTGCAAAGTATGTGACGCTGGATGACAGAAAACCAAGGTCCAATGACCCTGAGCTACGACTACGGCTTGAGGGAGTACTGAGGGATGATGAGAAACAGGCTGGTCTGGATCAAGTTTACAACGCCAGGACGGCCTCGCTATCCTCTGGTGTAACTGGTGCTTGCTTACCCACCGGTCTGGAGAAGTCTTTCCCGAGAAACCAAATGCAGGCCATGACGAACTCGGGTGCTAAGGGTAGCTCTGTGAATGCAAACTTGATCTCTTGCAACCTCGGACAACAGGTTTTGGAAGGCAGAAGAGTACCTACTATGATCAGCGGCAAAACCTTGCCATGTTTCAAGCCATTTGATACAAGTGTAAGAGCGGGGGGTTACATCACCGACCGTTTCCTTACAGGTATCAGGCCACAGGAGTATTACTTCCACGCCATGGCTGGCAGAGAAGGTTTAATTGACACGGCTGTTAAAACTTCTCGCTCCGGATATTTGCAACGTTGCTTGATCAAAGGAATGGAGGGACTCAAGGTTGAATACGACAACACTGTTCGTGATTCTGACGGCACCATGGTTCAGTTTCTCTATGGAGAAGATGGTCTCGACGTAACGAAGCAGAAACACCTCACGCAGTTCACTTTCCTGGCGGAGAACTTCTTTTCCATTTATGAGCAACTGGGCATCCGAGATGAATTCCAAAAGATAATTTCGGATGAGGCTCCCGATTGGAGTAAAACTGCTATGAAGAAGGTGAAAAAGACGGGGAAAATTGACGCAATGGATCCAGCGCTAGCGCGCTTCCCCCCCGGTAGATTCTTCGGTAGCACCTCGGAATCCTTTGCTGAAGAATTAAAGAAGGTATGTGCTAACAGTCTCTTTGAACTATGCGGATGATCTTTTTGCTAACAAGTACGCCTATTTTTAGTACGTCGACACAAACCCAGACAAAAAGATCAAAGATAAGAAGCAGGGCGTTGAGGGTATTGTGAGCAAAAAGGCGTTTAATACAATGCTGGAAGCAAAATACATGAAGTCAGTCATTGAGCCCGGTGAGGCAGTTGGAGTTGTCGCTGGACAATCTATTGGAGAGCCTTCAACTCAAATGACATTAAACACCTTCCATTTGGCTGGACATTCGACCAAGAATGTTACACTTGGTATTCCTCGACTTCGAGAAATTGTCATGACCGCAAGCAACCACATCTCAACACCTTCGATGACTTTGCATCTTATCCCTGAGCTTTCCGAGCAGGAAGGCGAAAGATTTGCTAAAGCAATCAGCAAGCTAACTCTGGGAGAGATCATCGACAAGGTTACCGTGACCGAGAAGTCTGCGCAAGGTGTTGCATATCCTAGAGCGAAAATCTACAGTGTTCGTCTTGACTTCTATCCGGCAGACGAATACTGTTCACAGTATGCAATTAATGTTGAAGACGTTACCCGCACTCTTGAAAACAAATTTGTTCCCTATCTTCAGAGAATTGTTCGGTCTGAGCTGAAGAAAAAAGGCGAAGAGAAGACGCTTAAACAAGGTTCAAAGAGCGATGCGCTGCCACAGATCGGTGAAGCATCAGGCACAATTGAGGAAGCACCTTCGCGCCCAGAGGCGGAACAGGAAGGAGGCGATGATGATGAGGATGATGACGGTGATGATGATGATGCTACCAACGCAAAGCAGCGTCAGAATCGTGCCGAAGCAGTTTCCTATGCTGCGCCGGATGAGGACGAACAAGATATTGCGGCCCAAATAGCTAGGGAAGGAACGCCTGAAGAGGATGCTGACGAGGAAGTGAGCACTAGAAAATCCGGGGTCTCGGACGAGTCCGGAAACGCTGTTGAGAATGAAAAGGGCCAATCCGCAAAGGGCGCCGCTAAGGAGAGACAAAACAGAATCATGGCCAAGAACCATGATGTTACGAGCTTCACCTTTGATGACGTGCATGGAAGCTGGTGCGAACTGCAGCTCGAGGTATGGACATCCACTTTTTCCCATTTCAATTAACTGTAGTTCGAGACTGACGACTGTTGTTAGTATGATGTTTCCACAGCAAAACTTCTCATGCTCAACCTGGTCAACTCTGCTTGCCACCACGCTGTCATTCAGTCGATCCCTGGCCTTGGCACCTGCACCCTCACGACCGATAAAACTCGGGACCCTGTTACGCGCAAAGAGATTGAATTTCCCGTTGTCGTTACCGATGGTGCTAACCTGACGGCTATGCGCGACTACCAGGATATCATCAATCCGCATAAGATTTTCACCAATGACATCGCAGCAGTGCTGCAACTCTATGGTGTGGAGGCGTGTCGTGCGAACATTGTCAGGGAAATGGATGCTGTTTTCCAGGGTCACGGTATATCGGTCGACAACCGTCACTTGAACCTGATTGCCGACATGATGACGAGAGGAGGTGGTTTCACTCCTTTCAATAGAAATGGACTCAAGAGCAGTGTCAGCCCGTTTATGAAGATGAGCTTCGAGACCACTGTTGGTTTCTTACGCGATGCTGCCTTGGAAGAGGATTGGGACGACCTCACCAACCCAAGTTCTCGCATTGTGGTGGGTAAGCTCGGAAAAGTAGGAACTGGAGCCTTTGATGTCATGATGCCAGTCACATAAAGCAATTGTTGTGCTATCTCGGCCCAGAGGAATCGGCGCGTGTTTCAGGTTAACCATTCTGGCATTAATGGGAGGGAAATTTTTGCATTTTTAAAAAGCTAGCTCAGTAATAGTCTGCAAGGTGTCAATTAGAATCGAAAAAGTATCATTCAAATGCGCAATATGAATACTTGAGGTTTAAAGTTCCATAATAACCTCGAACCCATGCACAAGCGCCAGAGGACCTATAATTATTTTCATGCCAGCCAAAACTAATAAAACGAAACTTCTCCATCAAATGCAGTACCCAGTTCAAGCATCAACCTCCATTAAAGCCTCTTCAATGTCATCGTCACCAAATTCGTCGTGTCCGATGGCGCCACTGGACGCTCCATTTTGGGCACCCTGGAGTTCTTTGATCTTATCTTCTTCTACTTTCTCTTTGTGCTTCTCCAGGTCATTCAGGCTCCAAGTGCTAATACCTTCTTGGTCCTTGGCTTTGAAAGGTTGGGCCATCCATCTTAAGAACTTTTTGGCGCTGGCAACAGCCATATCAGTGCTGAGATTGGTGTCTTGCTCGAGCAGAGCCTGATTAATCCATTTGGGTAACTGGTTTCTCTTTTTCTGAAATCGCCGATCCGCCAACACCATAATGCCGTAATCATCTTTGCCTCTTAATACGCGACCAAGGCATTGTGCGGCATGTCTCATAGCGTCGAATGAGAGAAAATCATTTTCGCGGATTCGGTATGTCTCCCGTAGAAATTCGAGACGTGCTTTTAAGATACGACTTTCTGTGTATTGGAATGGAACACCGATACATAGCACAGTGCGGCCATAGTGATGGTCAAAGTCAATGCCCTCCGAGACCTTTCCCCGTGCAACACAGAGCAGAATCGCTCCACGACCATTGCAACAAGCTGTTCGATATGTCTCTAGAGCCAAGGAAGTTTCTTGACTGTCTGGTGTCTCGACAAGAATGAGCTTGTATTTCCAAACTTCATCGAGAATACCCTAAATTATTTACGTTAATGATCTATAATCAACAGATTTCAAAAAGAAGGATAACCTACCATTCCTTGCCACATACTGATGATAGACTCCATATAAAGATAGCTTGGAAAGAAGACGACGATCCCATCCGGGGTTATTTTCGAAAACTCCATAAGAAGATTTCCATAATTCCGAACAACGCTGGGTTCATTGCGTATTTGAAAGCCCGAGCTTATGGCAACTTGGTCACTGCCTCTTGTAACAATCATAGGCAAAAAGGACCGACGTGCCAGAGTCATGCTATACGACTCCTGCACTACAGTGTTGAACCCTAGCATTTTTGGATACATCTCGAGCGGAGAGATTGTTCCCGAAGTGATGATGACGGAGCTGAATCGGTCAAAAACGGGCTTTATGGCAATCGCAGCATCCAAACACGTGAAGTGAAAAATAGGGTTTGGGACAGTAGCTGTCTCAGATTCGTATGGCTCAAGAATTAATAAAAATCCCTTGTCATAAGTTGCTACGAGCGTAGCAAATGTAGCAACTTCCTGCAAAGGTTGATAATCTTCGATGTTGGTGAGCTCGAGAGTGCGAACTAGTGAAGTGAGACGCTCTGCACAAAATCTGGAACAAGTAAGCTAGGTGACAATACCTTGAACCTTTGGCATTTCTTGGCTCACCTCAATGGCTTTCTTTCGATGAAAGTCAGCTCTTTGAGATGCTGAAGGAAAGACGGCGGCGTTTCCGAGATAACATGAAGAACTTTCATACGAGTCTATAGAATTATCGTTAGCTCACAATGAAGGCCGATAGCTCGCACAATATACCTTGAGGTATTCAACAAAACGTTTCAAAAAGGCGACAAAATGCTCTGCTCTTCTAATGTTCCCCGGGACGGCCTCCTTGAGGAGGTCATCAGGCAATGCTTGCGCAATGTTAATTTGGGTTTTCATACACCGGCAGCATTTACTAACCAGGATTAGCCATAAACGCATCCTCATCTCTTGCATCTCCTGCATCCCGCAGTCCCTCCACAAGCTTCGCGTACTCGTTTTGTAGCTTCTCAGCATCAGAGGACTTCATTTCCGTAATTTTACGCTCGAGATTATTTGCACCCCGAGCAGCTTTCCTTAAGGAGTCTTCTGTAAGGTCGATGCTAAGAGATTCTATACAAACATTATCAATATTGTGGGCCTCGTCGAAAACCACGATGCAGTCTTTCGAAAGCTCCTTGGACACCCTTTCCGCTATTTTCGGGTCTAAAAGGTAATGATACGAGTATATTATGACATTACAGAAAGGCATCTGCTCAGAAATTAGCAATGTTAATAAAAGTAAAGGCGAATCATACCATCCGTCTTGCCGTAAAATATGGACACTGTTTATGCTGCTCACCGTAGCGTATTGTCCCGTCTATTGTCCATACTCCGGGGGGTATCAGATTGTGTGGTTCCAGTAAGTCAAGGTTCTGTCAAGTCAGCTAGTTGGATCGCACAACAGAAGCAGAATCTTAAGCTACGTACATCATGATAGACACAGAGATCCACATCTTCACCTCTTTCCTTTTTCTCTTTAACAAAGCCCGCTGTTAGACTGCGGCAACGAGCATCCACCACTGAGCCGCTTTTCTCTCGTTTGACGGAAGGATGAAGGCACAAGTTTTTCCGACTGGTCAATCCCAAGCCCCGAAACTCTTCGACATACCCCAGTTGTTCAGCACGGTAGGCCATCAAGGCCTTTAGTTCAGCCAGTGCTTTTTCGATTTCTGACATGGTTCCTATTTCATGATTAGTTGACATAGATGACATACCTCATGTTGCGGTGGCGCTACTCACGTGAACAATATATTAACTTGCGATGTTCAGGATAGTACTGTTGATACGCTACAATCAATGACAAAAGTGACACCGTCTTTCCTGTCCCTGAAGGCATTTCGAGTACGCAATGGCCCTTGGCATCCAGGGTGCCTGGCAAAAATCAGCTTTGGTCCAAGCCTAAATATAACGGCAATAACATACGCTTAAGGTCACACATATAGCTGAAAGTATAAGATTTATTAGTGCGACCACTCAGTCTTCACTTCATATGAGTTTCCACGTTACGTACGCATATTGCTCTGAATTGTAGTAAATATAGGTTAATTCAAATAGGAGTCCACTGACAGGATGGTGCCATACCAGGGTAGATTCTCGGATACGGGAAGAGTACCGGAAGATCACTATCAAATGTCAATCATCTGGTTACAATTAGACATATGAGAAATTCCCACTCTATATTAAACTTCATGATGACAACCAAGTGATGCCCCGATCACCAAATTGACACACTGTCATGGGTGTCTCGACTGGTTCCAGAGGTTGGAAGCTTCAGGGCTTGATTCCCTTTTCCAATTTCGGAAAGGTGTAATAGGCACAAGGCGATTATATAATATACATGGGGCTGGGTGAAGCAAGGTGAGCTCAAAAGTAAAGTAAATATAAATGAGGTAGCAAAACTTAATACAATGAACTCACCTTTGTTGTTCCAGTTGTTTCGTCCAAAAATCCTCTCTGGCATATATGGTAACCTTGCACTTTACCGGCCTGGTGCTGCAATCAATTCTTACGCCCAAGAAGACTCAAACTCACGAACACTACACTCAACTACGTCATTAAATCGACCAAGCAGGGTAAGCAACTGGGTGTAAGAATAACGACACCCTAACTTTCGAAATTGAGGAACGAGGGAAACTACCTCTACTTCTCGATTGCTCTTGAAACCATTTTATTTTTCCTTTTTGACCCTTCTATGGGACTCCCTAGCGGGATCGACTGCTTTGGGAAGTCAATCTCTCGAATATGAGCAAGCGGCAATTCAAGGTCCAAGCCAGCAGCAATCGAGCAACTTCAGGCGCTTTCGGCCCGCCGGGCTCTTTTGGTGCTGGATTTCGCTCATCCTCAGTCTTTGGATCTTCTTCCTCAACACTTTCCTATATTTCCGAGCCCCCGGACTTATCTGATGTTTCAGAACCGAATGTAGTGGTGGCTTTCAAAAATTTAAACAAGAAGGACAGCACCACGAAAGCAAAAGCACTTGATGAACTTCTGTCCCATGTCATAACGAAGGAGGCGGGTGGTGTTGAGGAAGCTGTCCTGGTAGCCTGGGTGCGTGCTAATGCGCAAACTGTGTATATATGGCCATGTAGTAATCAATATTCTCCCGCAGATCAATTTATACCCCCGTACATCCATAGATAACTCACGACGAGTGCGCCAACTTGCGCATTGCCTCCAAGGCCAAATTGCATCATCATGCGGGAAGAGACTTGCAAAGTATATGCCAAATGTTGCTGGCTCTTGGCTTGCAGGACTCTATGACAACGATAAGCAGGTCGCCCGTGCTGCGCAGGATTCTCTAAGACTTGTTTTCAATTCTACAGAGAAATTTCGTGCTGTTTGGAAGATTTATCAGCAGTCAATCCTCGAATATTCTCGAGACGCCATCCTGCGAGAAACTGTCCATAGCCTTAGCGATGAGCGTACCGTCAGCCCCGATGAAGCGGAGGGCAAATATGCAAGAGTAGTTGCGACAAGTATTGCGTTGTTAACGGAGCTGCTATGTTGGTGAATAACCCTGTATATTGCGGCATACGCTAACATGGAACAGCGCAGATTGATTCAGCAGCACCTCTTAAAGATCAAGTCACTCTTGAGGAGCTGCTCAGGGACAACCAGCTTTGGAGCTTTGCCTCTCACGGTGATCCCAGTGTACGAAAGGCATCGTATAAACTGCTTCAGACATGCGTGGAAAAGCAGAGAGGTCTGTACTCGCCGCTTCTTTGCGATCTGACACAATGTGCTTAGCAATTATAGAAACCATCTCGGAAAATCTTAAAGCTATAAGCTACTCTTTACTGTCCAAGGCCCTGCGAACCGACCAACTTGGCTCTGCTTATGAATACGTTGAGGCATTGTCGTGTTTGACAAAGAGTCTGCCTGAAATTTGGACCGAATACTATAACGATAAAAAGCCAGCAATAACTAGATTAAGTGGCTTTTTAAAGAAAGGCTCACAAGGTGGCGGATCACGGGTTTGGGAGAAGATCATGCTTCTCTTCGAGGGTCTCCCAAGCAGTGTGATGCCTTCGCGTCTTGCAGAAGCAGAAGCCATTCTCGATGCTCTTTTAGAAGGAATAAATCGAAGAGAAGAGCACCCAAGCGACCTGACAACTGCCTGGGCAGCCTATTTTTCTCTAATAGCTCGGCTTTTCAACTTGATGGAACACAAGGAAGAAAAATGTGCTCTTCTTACCAGCAGGCTACTGCCTATATTCAGAGAGTATGTTAGACCGATGCCAGAGCAGCCGAAGTGGTCGATTGGAAATTCGGGTCTTACAATCTGTTTAAACGGCTTCAAATTGTGTCATCAACTCGAAATGGATATTGCGGTTCATATTTTTGAGGCAGAATGGACAGCTCTAGCCGAAACAGTACTCCAAGATGTCAAAATTTCCCAACCCGAACAGTCTAAAGAGTATACTCAATCACAGGATGCGGTGGCGAAGCAAGGAAACAGATTATTTGCTCTGCAAGCCGCTAATTTGGGGCAGGTTTCCCTTGAGGCATACGACATTCAGGTTTTCTCTAGAACGACGGAACTCATCTTGAAGGGAGCAATTGAGACGGTCACATCAAGAAATGGTAAACCTTATGGAGCTGCCGCCGTCGTATATGCCGCTGTGCACTTCTCTCTTGATCTCATACTTCAGTCGCTGGAAGGTCGCGAGGCCTTGACTACCTTTCTCGAACGAGATTTATCATCGCTCCTATTTTCTCCCTCATCAGCGATGGTTCTAAAAACCCTCACTGCTTGCATGAATTTGGAATGTGCTAAGCAAGCCTGGCAGAGCGCCCTCAAGGCAACACTTGATGCACAGAACTCGCGCGAAAGATTTGAAGTATTACGGAATCTCCTGTCTGCATTAAGATCAAGACCAGAGATAATTGCTGGTGTCGACGAGCGTCTGGACGATTTAATCCAAAACAGCATGCGACAGGCAGTAGAGGGCGAAATTGCGCAGTGGCAACTTGTCAATCAAGCAATCGGACTCTCAGGTGAGCCTTTCAAATCCCAAATCGTGATGGATAGAATTTCACTGCTCCACATCTTGGTAGGCCATAGGATATCCGAACCTAACGCAGATTTTAGGCTTCGCTATATCAACCAGTATGACTGACGACCTATTGTCCGAAATGGTCAATGCGCTCTCATTAGAATCAAAGGCTCTTTCGACTTTGGAAGGAGTTGAATTAGTAGCAAGGACGAATGGAGATTACATCAAATCATTCATCCGCTCAAAGAATGGACCGATACTACTATCCAATCTGCTTTTTCTGGCAGAGTCAACGGACGAGGAGATATCTCACCGAGCTTCGAAAGTGAACAGTCTGGTGGAGAATACCATCTCTCAGTCTTCCCAGCCAATCTCGTCGAACATATCCTCGCTCGCCATTATACAAGATGCCTTTGACGAAACAAGACTGGCATCGGTTTCGTCAGTTTCCCCGTTTATCATGATGAGTGGTACATCCTGACTGTTCTAGGATCGAGTCACTTGTTGAACGAGCAGTGGGGCTCTTGACCCAGACTTCCAAAGGTGAAAATGCAACCGTAGCGAAGCAGTTGCTGCCGAACACCGCGCAATGGGAAGCCGCCTTGAACCCTTTTTTGAGTATTCCGCCAGATCCATCCCTTGCTATCACCGATCTATTTGGCAGTGCGATGCATATGATACAAAGTGATCATGCACCAGGCTTTGTTAGCCAGACAAAGTCACTACCTCGGGACATCAACGGCTATTCCACGGCATTGAGGATAGCGTTTTATTCCACAAATGTATTAAAGGCGTCAGACATTCTGAAATTTGTTGATGCGGATCTACGGGACGAGACTTATCGTTGGCTGGCTCATGTTGTCCAGTTGGCTGATGACAACCTCAGCGTCTTCGGTGTAAACAACTTGTGGACTCAAAGCGGCCAAGATATTGAGGCAGAAATCCTCGGCTTCATTTCCGAAACTAAGTCTCTTATGGCTAACACGACGAAAACTTTCGATTATTCAACTGATGTCAGCAGCCTTTTCAGTGCCAGCTTGGAAAACTCTCAGCAAGACAAGCTCTTTTCAGGCGCAGCTGGATTGTCGACATCAGCCTTCTTGAACGCCAAAGCGTTCTGTCTCATCAAGTCTGATATAGTCCAACAATTCGATCGTGATCTCGAGGAAAATGTGCGCTGGGAAGACATCCTGCGGAATCTCGCACAATCGAAAGAAGGTATTTTATACCCTGCTCCCGCCTTACTGCTTTTGCTCACCTGAGAATGGATAGATACCTTCAAGCTCCTGGCTGTGTTGATAAGCTTTCAACGGCCTATATGTAGCTGCGGCGGCTCTGGAAGACTCTGCAACCAGCTTATTGCAAATTTGACAGGTCATAATTTCGAAAAGGAGACCTTTGAAGGTAGGTCAAATACCCAGCAACGCGGATCTGGTGACAAATGACGATCACTAATCTCTATTTTGTGTGAGCAGGTCTCAGACTTCTTTTGATACTTAATTCAATTCTTATACATCACACCGACGTCGTTGAAGGGATTCCGCAACAGCGCTTGGTATTTTTTATCAAGCACCTCATAGAATACCTTCAGCTGCCCTCAACATCTCTTTCGGTAGATGCTGAGATATTTAGATCATTCACAGTCATACTACCTTTTATCAAAGGAATCTATGGCTCTCATTGGTCACAAATCCTAGACACGCTTGCTCAGATTTGGTCGGCGTCGAAATCTCTTGCTGATAGCTCGAGATTAGCGACCATCCATTCTTCTCTCAAATTACTCTCAGCTCTGCGATCTTTGCTCGGAGATGAGTCAAACGATGATTTAGAGGATGCATGGATAGGTAATAGCAAAGAACTATCCAGAGGTCTTATCAATCTTCTGAAACAGTCGCAATGTAAGTGCGCTACTCTGCGCGCAGTCACAGAGTATCATGCTAAATTGAATGCAAGCGCTTTCGGATGATTTTCATCAACCTTTGACCATCGTGAACGAGCTTCTTGCTCGGCAAATATCCAAATTGCCAGTTACATCTCTTGATACTGAGGTCGAAGAAGTAAATTACCTCCATAAGGCTTTTCTATAGACGAATGTTGCTTGGAGCTAACTTATTATTAGATCTTTCCATTGCTTTACGCCGAATCTGGATCCATACAGCGAATTGCCTTTGACATTCTTCATAGTGGGATTCCTCGAAATCAGGAAAGGGTGTCATTCGATGCCGCTCTTGAAGAGAAAGATGCTCGCCTTCCGGAGGAGCTCCTGTCTCTTGTCCTCCAGCCGCCTACATTGATATCTTTGGAAGATCATAGCATCGATCACGGAACGTCAATTCACCTACGCGGCTACCTATTCAGCTGGATTCTCGTTTTCGACCATTTCACGAATTCTTCATACAAAGTGAAAATGAGCTATGTTGAGAATATAAAAGATGGGGGCTACCTAAGCGGTCTGCTAAATTTTGCAACGGACTGTCTCGGCCACGCAGAAGGAAAGCCCGTGGACGCTTCCAAATTTGATATCAAGTCGTACACGCCTGGTTTAGAGGAAACTCTGAAACGAGATACGCAGTGGATGTTGATTCACCTTCTATATGAATGCCTGAAATATGTTCCGTCCCTCACCAAAGCGTGGTGGATAGATTGTAAGAGTCGGCAAAAAGGTCCGTCTGTTGAAGCCTGGACTGAGAAATATGTGAGTAGCTCGCAAAACTTCACTCAACAATGAGCGATGAAGGAAATAAACTAATCTGTATTCCCCTTTGAAAGATTTCTCCATCTGTGATCGCGGACGAGTTGCTCACAGTCAATCAATGGATTACTCATCAAGATTCTGAAGAGCAACTGCAGGTCAAAGTGTCCGAGAAGGCACGAGAAGTTACCGCTAGCTACGAAATTGACGAACAGAATATGCAGATCGTCATCAGGCTTCCTGGGGCTTATCCATTGCGCGGTGCGTCCGTCGAGGGCTTGAATAGAGTTGGTGTCGACGAGAAACGTTGGCGGAGCTGGCTCCTGACTACCCAAGGCGTCATCACCTTTTCGGTACGTTCGACCAAATTCTGCTTGCTTCTCCCTAACACTAAAGGGCTTTTTACAATGAGCATTTGCACTAACTCTTTTCGCCGTGCGATTTCTAGAATGGTAATCTTATTGATGGACTCACGGCGTGGAAAAAGAATGTTGTTGGGGCGCTTCGTGGCCAGACAGAATGCGCGATCTGCTACAGCATCATCAGCGCTGATAAACAGCTTCCAAGCAAAAGATGCGGCACCTGCAAGAATCTTTTCCATTCCTTGTGTCTCTATAAATGGTTTAAGAGTAGCAACAGCTCCAGTTGCCCTCTCTGTCGAAACTCCTTCAATTACAGTTGATAGCGTACAATTGGAACGTGGTACAAATCGGTTATATCTGTTCGAAGATGGCAACAGTTCAACAATGTAAAAGTAACGAGAATTACTTTCGGCGGGGAAGAGAACCCCTAGATTTGTGTTGATGTTTTGATTTTTTTTTCTCCAATACTCAAATTGGGAAGAACATGTTGAATACTTTTTATCATTTGAGGCCATGCAGCCAATACATTTACCCGCCTATCCTTTCCTTCCCTACCCACGTGAACGCCCGAGTTATTTTCCTACTCAACATCTAGCGGTCAACAGCAATGCTTCAAAGGTTGTAATGCCGCGCGCTCAAAGAGATTACGATGCTATGAACAATGAAAAGGACGAAGAACAACTACCTATATGTCAAGATCCTTCAATTATGCTGTCGTTTGCCATTTTACTCTATTTTCTTGGTCCTTTTTCCGTCTCGATATTTCTTCGCCTTTTCTCCCAGATATCTCCATGATCGAGCGAACCCTGCGGTGAGAAAACTTTTTACTGATTGGCTCATGCTGGGCCAGGCGATGGTATTCTTGATTGCAATAGACACTTCCTTTTTCAAGCCTGTTTCGTCGCCAGCAATTTGCTGCTCGAAACCGCCGCCTTCACGTCGTTTGATCCTCGTTGCATCTTCGTCGTTGCTCTCTTCCTGCATCCGTTCCCACTCAACCTGGGGAATACGGAATTTTTGTCGATACTGGAGGTAGAGCTTGTTTCTGAACGCCTTTGGCAGTCGTCGCACCATATTTCCTCGTTTGAAAGGATCCATATCCTGCTCTAGGGACGCGTTCGTAGATGTATCATCCTCCCATCCAGGTCTACTGCACCGTGGATCTTTGAAAGAAACGTTTGGCAAGTTCTCAATCAGTGGCGCATAGAGGTAACGAAAGTTGGCAAGCTGGTTAGTCACAATATTGTTGACTTTCTGGCGATTCTCAGTTGGGAGCGACATACGCGGGTCTCCCATATAGCTGATACCCGCGATTGTGGAGTATAGGTCATGCTCAGTGAATGTCGGTGGGAGTAGTAAAAGTGCCGTCCGAACCGCGGAGAGCAAATTGACTTGGTTAGCAAGCCGTACTCGGGGATCGTCACGGAGAATCTTGACTGGCTTGTGGAGACGACCGGCCAGGTAAAGCGTATCCCATTCGCTCAAATCGCGACATAACGTATCAATGTTCACAACCCCGTATTTGATCAAAGTGCCATTCACGGTAACGTACGGGTTGAAATAGACTCCTGCTCCGTAACGATCCTGCACTCTTGACACGATACCTGATCCTAATGATCCAAGAGCGGAATAATGGTCGCGATGCTGCTGAATATTGAGAGAGTGCCAATGTTGCGTGTAGCTAACACCGAAGATAAAATCGATCATTTTACCCTCGCCTAATTGAGCCTTACCTATGGCGGAGCTTGCGGACGGGTGTACGCTAGACGGTCCAGAAGATGCAGCCTCCTTACTCTGGGGAAATACTCCGGAGCCATAGGCAAAAGCATAGCGAATCGGGGCTCGAAATTGCCATAGTATCTGCCGAAGTGCTTCTTTAAATTCAGCATTGATGATCATATGCTGATTGAAACCAAAATTACTCGAAGGTAATTGTGAGAAGGCAGATATATCGAGATTTGGATTTTCATCCCAATTTGATACAGACGTATCTGGAGCCACATCCGATCTCGATGGCTTTGTTTCTTGCTGTAGACGGGCTCCCGCTGTATAAGCTCGTCGGCTTGGAATGGTTACAAGATTCGAGGAAAGAGGCGATCCCACTCGGACCAGCAAGCGGGATTGGCTAGCAATTGAAGGTTGTAGAGGTCGCAACAACTACAAAGCCAGCATTTAGGTGTAAGTCCCTGCTTTCGATGAAATATATGGCATGCGAGACCCACCAGGTGCCTCCCAATGGCCATGATGACAGCGGGCCGTGTTGGGCGGAGAAGAGTTTTGTATTCGGAGAATTTGGGATTGGTAAGAGAAGTAGGACTACCGATTGAGGGCAATTGAGAGTCGCCTTTCAAAGTGCCAACGGCGGTGCGCCATGAGCAGAAGGCGGTTGAGATTGATTCGCGAAAGCTATGATACAATTAGTTCAATGGGAGAACAAGAACGAAAGGATGAGGGCAGATTTGGTCATGCGGTTAGACAGTCCAAGGCCGATCCGACACTTTCGGTTTGTTCGTCGCTCCAACTCCCCGTAACTGACCGGGGGGCATTAGCGCGTTTTACGCGGCGGGAAGAACTCGGATTGAACTCCGCGCTTAGTCATCATCTGCATTTGGCCCGTTTGAGGACCAGTGGATTCAACCCGATGCTGTGCTATTCTCACTTACTATATTTTCACAAACATCGCTAGACCCATTTCATTTACTTCAGTGTTTTGGTTCAGGGAAGAATAAGTGCTACTGAACATGGAATGCTTTCCCTCGTTTGGAGGAGTACGAATACCGTTGGTAACCAGCCGCGCAACTGACAGCCCCGAAGAAGAATGCTGCAAGCGAATGCTGCGAGCGAAGTGAGCAGGTTGTGCAAAAGACCTGGAACTTATCTATTTTCGGTTAGCGCGTTAATGTGAGACCCTTGTCGTACCTTCCCGTGCATCACCACCCACAACAAACAACGAGAACAGACGACGCATTTACCGCCCAAGGAGATTCAATATCAACGTGTCGAGTGCAAAACTTCTCAACCCTCCTGTGCTCATCTCACAACAAAGATTCATGATCATAGAGAGCTTCTCTTTCTTGTTCTGCGCTCTAAGCTCGAGTCAATTTTCACAAGCTGTCCAACCTTAATACTCTAGGCGCATCCTGCGCCCGAGCCCCTCGGCCATGTCTCTTTCCGAAACTATGATGACTTATGCTGCTCGGCTGGACTCTTTTACAGCACCGCAACCCATTCCAAAGAGGCGTGCGTCAAATACAAAAACGCAAAAGACGGTTACCTGGCCTCACAGCAGCCCAAGTCCCGCGGAGGTGAGCGGAAATCAAGTCGGCATTTTGCTTTCTTTCCCAAGTTGAGGACTAACTTCGTCGTGCGCAAAGCTTGCTAGAGCTGGCTTCTTCTACCGCCCAACAGCGTCAAGTCCGGACAATGTTGCCTGTTTCCTGTGTCATAAAGCCCTCGATGGCTGGGAAAGTGAAGATGATCCTTTGGCGGAACACCTCCATCATTCACCGGATTGTGGTTGGGCCATCATCCTAGCTGTTGCTCGACAAACTGAGCATAATGAGGACAAAGATGACCATCCAGGCTCGTCAAGGTTGAAGGAAGCGCGAAAAGCGACTTTCCAAGGAAGCTGGCCGCACGAGAAGAAACGCGGATGGGTCTGCAAGACTGAGAAGGTAAAGCGTTTTAGTCCTCATTTTCGTCGGCTCTCTATTGACGTTGTACGCTTAGATGGTAGATGCCGGGTGGTATTACTGTCCGCTCCCCGAATCTGAGGATTTTGTTTCCTGCGCTTACTGTGGCTTGTGTCTGGACGGTTGGGAACCGAAAGATAACCCTTAGTAAGACTATCTAAATTTTGCGGCAATGAATCCGGCTATTAATCACCAAATTAGCAATGAGCACAAACGTCGATCGCCCGAGTGCTCTTTCTTTTCCTTTCCAACTCTCTCCGCCCCTGCAAAGCCAGCTACTCGTGCTAAAAAAGGTCGCGCATCAAAGGCGGCTCGTGCATCCATACAGTCCAACATATCGTACGCCTCACTAGCACCTTCAATCACCGATGTGGAAGCCGCCGAAGACGACAGCTTTGTCTCATCCGGCACAACCACTTCGAAGACCACATCAAAAGGGAAATCCCGAAAAAAGGGCTCAAAAGGTTCCGTTATAGCAAAGACCAAACCTTCCGATGAGGCGATAACCAGCGAAGACGGCATTTCAAAGCCGGCACAAAGCGAAATTTCCAACAGGGTGGTTGAGACCTTGCAAGGCAATGAAGCGTCTGTTACGCCACCTCAATCAGCTAGACTGAAAAAGCGCACCAGCGACGAAATGAGCATGGACGAACCGCATGCCTCAGTAGAGTCGGAAAGGGAAGCAACTCCTGATGCACTTCCTGCTGCAAAGCGAAGATCTACAAGGGAAAGTCATAATTCAATCTCTCCGCACCAATCCTCACCAGCAATCATACGACAAGCGGATTCGCCTTCTAACCCAGCCGATATTTCAGATGTTGCTCTTCCAGATCATTCAGGCGAGGGTGGTGCACTTGACGAACCCGATGATCTGCAGGATTTCTCTCCTAGAGAAAAACCTACCTTGACGAAAAATATAGAGAATGACAGCCTGCCAGACCAACCATATGGATCAGGAAAAAAAACCCCTCCACGCTCTTTGTCGCCAGGATCACATTCCACCAAATCCAAAGGATCGTCACCCTTGACATTAGACAACGCAAATCAACTATCAGTCCGTCAAAATCACAAAACCGATCAAAAGTTAGAAAGTTCGGCATTTTTGGGTGACGGAGAAAAGGATATGCATCCGCAGCACTCTCTGCCTGAAACACAAGGTCATCTTGCAACTGAGGTTGACACAGGAAAGGATCAACTTCAGCAACAGAATGATACCTCTGAAAATAGAAATACAGAAGATCGTCACCCCGCAGTTTCAGCATCCGAAAATGATACCAAAAAGACGACTTCTGTGGTAGACCAAGCTCCCCTTTCACAGGCGAGTCCTTCCGGTTTAGAACTTAGTAGGCTTGAAGAGCGCATTTTGTCCTCTCCTGACGACCGGCGCAATCCGTCACCGGATCCGTCAGAACTGGAGCATCATGATTTACACTCGTCAGATGCCGAAAACCGACCCCCATCATCAAAACCACCACAGAGAACACGTGTGGCATTTGCTCCCAGCACACCAACATCTGTCCGTCGCGGCAAGGCTGCTATCAGCGCAGTCCTCAGAACCGAGCGCCCCTGGAAGCCGGCCGACATTGAGCAGATTTTACTAGGAGTGCCTGGTATTTGGGCCAATAACGACGGTGTCATGAACGTTGAAGACGCCCTCGAACGAGTCGAAGCCGATTTGACAGGTCCAGAGAAGATGATGACCGTCGAGGAATGGATCTCTGTGCAGGCTGGCAAGGCGGAGGAAAAGTTGAAGAACGAGTGTGAAGGAATGGTGAACATGTTCGAATCCCACGGCATGCAGGCGCTGCGATCGATCGAAGGGATTGAATGCATTGATTAGATGCCGTAAAGGACATCCTGCGTTTCATTGGCGTTGTAATTGGGTACGCGAATTACGATTGGAGAGCCTGGGAAAGTAATCACAGGGTCACAGAATGGTGTTGGATGCGGCGCTTTGGGTTTGGCTCTTTCATTGTCTTACACAACGGACGCAAATGTACAGATTATTGGGCATTTTCGGCACAAGTTTTCCAAAAATTATTTCTTTTGATATTGCAAGTCAAGAAGAGGTTGTTTACTTGTCATCAAATCCAGTCTATTCCTGATTCGGATCTATCTCCCTATCTGGATTCTATTCTTCTATTCCGAAATTCTGATGACGGTGTTCTGAACACTGATGTCGATGAGGGCAGATTGTGGAGCGTTACTGGCTCCATCCTTGTTCTATGCGACCCCATGTCTATGCCAGTAATAGCGTCGGAACTGGCATGAGGAGACATGCCTTCTTGGCGAGGGGAAGTGTTACGGGTGCGATGATCTAACGTCGATGAGGAATTGTATTTTTTCTTGGCCCATGGTGCAAAGTTGAAAATAGCGCCACAGATGAAGATCCCCATCCACAATACGAGTTCTGTGCCATAGATGACCATGCCAAGAATATTCAAATGCGGCTCAAAAAACACCGATACCAGAGAGAAAACATCTCCTGCAGCGTCAATGCCAACAAAAATGAAACTGATCCCACGCACAGTACGATGCTTGTAGATATCCACATAATGTCGCAAGACGCCAGCTGCAAGCAGGGTTGCGCTTAATACGGCCATGGTGGTGATCGGCTGCGAGAAACCGCGCTCCCTGGCTAACTGCTCATAACATTTAGCAACATTTCGTGGAAATCTGTATAAACGAAATGCATTCCATCCCGGCATTAATCCAAGAGCATTGTCTTATTTCAACAAAGTTTGGATTTAGGGAGAGTGTATATATCTTTTCAGAGACGCAACATGAGAATGATACTCAAAGAGGTCATAAATTTTGGAAAACACCTTGGGAAGCCACATCATAAGTTTGTAAATTAGCATGAACACTTACTCTCAAGGTGAAAATTAGACCAGCTTCAACACCACTCATCAAGAGCGCAATTGGTAGGACGACTGCGCTGCATCTTTGAATAGACCATTTCTGTTTCATGCCCAATGCAAAAATCAGTAAACCTCTTAAAACTGGGCACCTATAGACATCGCAACTCTCCGTGGAAAATGCCTTAAGAAAATGAAACGAATGGTTCCCAATATCCCACAAGGAAATGCAAGAACTGACCTTTTCATAATAATGGCATTGCGTCCAGGTTAGCAGACTCAAAAAGCTCAGGATTTGCGGCTGTATCTTCAGCGCAACATTGAAGTCCTCGACGATGTTGTATACCCCGAGAGGCACGCCTGCCCAGGCCCACAACATCATCATTGATGGCTGCAACCCAGTGGTATTGTGCCGTCGGTAGTTGATAATGATTTGGGGGATCAGCTACATTTTGGGGCCAGAGTGAGCTTGTGGAGCTTTGAATAAGGCAAGGGTGGTGGTCGGGAAAGGATGAGGGCTAGAACGAGACCGCGTTGGCAACATTGTTATGGGCTGCTCAGGATCTCTTTCATTTGGCTGCAAAACAGGGTTGGCTTACTTGTACTGACCAGCATATCTGAGGCCAGAAGAAATAGCGGAATGGAGAATTAGTTACTATGGCCCATGCTTTTTCCATGACGCTGGAACTTAAACTTACCGCACCTGTCACTCCAAGGACATTGGCCGCCACAGGAACATCCATTATACAGAAGCCCACCAGTTGATGAAGAGCGGAATGAAAACGTTAAGATCAGTGATGTTACAAGCAGTGATGCTTCTTCAGATATAAATTCTGTGTCTTATCTTTAATCGGTTGCATTTGAAAACATATATTAGCTTGTCCTTAGCCCTTTTTAATACCCCATGGATACGATAAAAACTAAAATAAATTGTGAAAGTTTAAACATAATGGTAGCATCGAGAAAAGGAATTCTGCTTCCCATCTGGCGCATTAAAGAAATCAAGAATCGAAAAAGCAAATGAGCAAAAAAAAAAAAAAAACATGTGACCTAACCAGGGGTCGAACCTGGAATCTCTTGATTCGTAGTCAAGCGCCTTGCCATTGGGCCATTAGGCCAATTGTTACAATATAGGTAATTTAAAATTTACATAGCCTAGTGAAGAAATTTTCGTTTCTCATCCACAACAGTCGAGGGTCGCCAAACAAATCTATGACGTCGTGATGGATTGTAACATGAAGCCCAACTCCGGCAATGGGACGAATTTGGAATTCCTTTAACAAAAACATTGATACCTAGTCCATCTCCAAGAAATTGCAGTCATATTTTCACAGCACATTAGTTAATTGATGGCACTAATGATCTGCATGGAAAAGCTTTTTTATTGATTATGAACCGCTAGAGGAAAGCAACAAAAGAGCAAGGTGTGGGGCAATGCTGAAGCAATGCACTGGGTATATTATATTAGATATCGAGCGCCTTTGCTATTGAGGTGGATTCCTGCCAGGTCTTTCTTTCTTTTTTTTTTTTTTTTT